CTAGTCACCACCTTTAAAGCGCTCCATGGCATCGGTCCTGGCTACCTCCGAGACCGCCTTCTGCGGCAGATTCCCTCCCACAGACCGGTGCAGTGGGGGGGAGTGTTTGGCTTTTATTCCCCCCATCTGCTGGGTGGTTGCAGCAGGTTTTGGTCACTTCACATGACCCTGGGACACTGTGACCGTCATAAATATGAATCAGTTGCCAAGCATCTGAATGTAAATCACATGACCCTGAAGATGCTGCAACATTCCAGCTGATCGGCGCTTCTTCTGGGCTCAACAGAAGCACCAGGATCAGTGCCGAGCTCCAGCTGGAGCCTGGCGCTGATCCTGGCGCTTCCGCTGAGCCCTGACAGCCCTGCAGCTCCAGCCATCTCTCGCTCAGGCTTGTGCGGTGCTGCCACCGGTTCAGCTCATTCCCCTCCCCCGCTACCACTTTTCTAGGACGGTCGCGTATCACCTGCCAGGTGCCAATGTACCACAGGTGGTACCCGTACCACTGGTTGAAAAGCCCTGTGTTACACCACTGCTTTGTGAACTGCACTGGTTGCCAGTTCGCTTCCGGGGGCAATATTAAGGTGCTGGCTATTACCTTTAAAGCTCTGCATAGCATGGTTCCAGGCTACTTGAGGAACCGTCTCACCCCAATGGAAGGGCCCTTCCCACCTGTGCCAGCAGAGGAGGCAAACTGCGGATTGCATCAGCCAAGGAGTTTTGGGTGGCAGGATTCAGATGAGCCTTCTCTGCCGTGGCTCCTGCCCTCTGGAACATCTTACCCCCTGGGGTGAGATTGGCTCCCATCCTCCATATGTTTCAAAAGAGCCTGAAGACCTGGTTCTGCTAGATGGCTTGGGGACCCAATGGGGGAGCTTCATACTGGAGGTGGTTGACCAATGAAAACCTAATCCCACCTCCCCGCCCCCGTGTATTTGGCTCCCTCCTTTGCCATCTTGTGTTAGTGATTTTATTTCATCTGCTTTTTATCTTATATTTGATGATTTCAATGTTTTTATGCTGTAAGTTCCCCAGAATGTTTTGACATGAGATGGGCAGCAAATAAATTTCATAACAAAATAAATAAATTCTGGGAGATGCAGTCCCCCTGTATCTGCAAGATAAAAGTTTGGGGATGGCTGGCCTAGAATCTCAGCATCCTTTACAAAAAGGCCTTAACGTGGTACTTGGAAGAATTTTACTGAGTCAGGGAACTAAACTATAAATACTTTTCATGCCTAGTTTACAATTTCATGTAAGATTTCGAGAGACTGGAATGTTTTGGAAGGGGCTGAGGTGTCTAACAGAAGAGAGAGATGTGTTTTTAGAGAAAGAATTATTGTGTATGGGAAAAGGGAAGAGAGAACATTAACGCTAAATACAACCTGGAGCTCCCAAAATGTTTTTGGCCTTCTGTTCCCGCCAAAACCAGCCATTATGCCCAGTGATTCTGGGATGCGCGTGCAAAATAACTGGAGGGCATCAGAGTTTCTGCCTCTTGCTAAAACTCGGTTTTCATTTTACTCTCTCACTGTTCCCTTGCAGTTGTGAGGATGAAAAATATTATGGATTTATTTAAAGTTGAGAATCATATTAAGCCAGGGAGGACCACATGGAATTTGTGGTTCAGATATTTGTGTTTCCTCAGAAAATTTTCTTTCCACCTCAACCTCCCAAGTGTGTTGCTATGACACAAATACAGAATCAATTACAATGAGACATGAAAGACGCTTTGCTTTCTTTGTTTTAACCTGCAGGATGTGGCCTTCAACACATTTTGCATCAACATAAAAAAGCCCATGCTGTGCTTAACAAGGAAAGGAGATCCTCACCATTGACCTTTTCTTTTGAATTACTGACCTTCTTGTATTGTACATTGCTAGATGATGTGTTCCTGCCCAAAGACTTGGATAGTGTGGAGATGGATGAGACTGACAGAGAAGTGGAATACTTCAAGCGGTAAGACTTTGTCACATTGAAACTGACCTTTGGGATCTTTTCTCCTCAACTTCCACACGGGAAGGAGATCAGTGGCCTGCAGCTCTCATACAAATGTCACAATGAATTAATCTGGTTTTGTTGAATAAGCCACAACTTGTTCAGTGCACACAATATATGAAGCTACAAACCATAGTTTATAAACCACAGTGCTAGATTGTTGCACAACTCTACCCCAAAACCATATTACGGCTTAACAGTGTTTGAACCCTATTGCAAGGATGAGATTGCCTCAAAGGGAATGGAAAAGAATATTCCTTCGTATTGCAAAGTATTAATTTGCAAGGAGGTGCAATGATACGCACACCAGGCCTCACAGTCCCTAATGGTAAGCATCATCCATCAAGAAGGTGGTTAGGAAGTGGAAGCTCAGATGCACTAGGCTGAAAGGGAGGTTTTTGGGGTTGTTGTTTTTCCCTCATGAATTTCATTCTCATAAGTGGATCAACAAGGAGGAACTCACAGATTTTAAGAATGCAATGAGGATAGACTATGGAAAAATGATGGTTCCTAGGAAAATTGAAGGATATAAAAAAAGGGAAGAGATAAGGTAGAAGAGAATAACAGAACAGAATAACAGAATAACAGAGTCTCAAGGGACTTTGGAGGTTTTCTAGCCCAACCCCCTGCTCAGGCAGGAAACCCTATACCAGTGATGGCGAACCTATGGCATGCGGGCCAGAGGCGGCACTCAGAGCCCTCTCTGTGGGCACGTGCACCATGCCCTGGAGATGGCAACCGTCCCTCTTCAACCAGCCGCCCGCTAACTCGCCGAGATCCCACATGGCTGGATGCATCCAGCATGGCTGGTTTCCCTTCCCCCCCCCCATCCCATCCCTCCTAGCCTTGCATGCTCTCCTTTTCTTGGGCATGACCCCTGCATTGCCTCCTCAGCTCTCAACCGGCCATCCAACTCAGAGGCAACTTCTCTGAACTGCTGGCGGCGGGCTGCGGAGCCCCAGAGTGTGCCGATCAAGGGACCGGCAGGCTGTGGCTTCTGACGGACACTGTCAGCCCCCATGCACTCGCTGGCCCCTGGTGTCAGGCAGCAGCTGCTCTGGGCCCTGCCTCGCCTTGCCCTGCGACAATGGCACCCCTGCTCTCCCTCACCTCACCCACAGGACGAGCCTTCTGCCCATCGCTCCACCTGCCAGAGACCCCCTGGATCTCCCCCAACCCTGCCCGGCCCCCACAGGCATCCCCCCCCATGAGCAACATCGAGGTGATCACACATACCTTGGCCACACCCACCCAGTCTGCCATGACCACCACAGCCAGTCCATTCAGTGGGCCATGCCCACCTGGCACCCAGCGATAAATAAGTGAGTTTTGGGTTGCAGTTTGGGCACTCGTCTCTAAAAGATTCACTATCACTGCCCTATACCATTTCAGACAAATGGCTGTCCAGTCTTTTCTTAAAAACTTCCAGTGTTGGAGCATTCACCACTTCTGGAGGCAGGTTGTTCCACTGATTAATTGTTCTAACTGTCAGGAAGATTCTCCTTAGTTCTAGGTTGCTTCTCTCCTTGATTAGTTTCCATCCGTTGCTTCTTGTCCTGCCTTCAGGCACTTTGGAGAATAGCTTGACTCCCTCTTCTTTGTGGCAGCCCCTGAGATATTGGAACACTGCTATCATGTCCTTCCTCGTCCTTCTCTTCATTAAACTAGACGTACCCAATTCCATCAACCTTTCCTTATATTTGGTAGCCCATGATTGTTTATTTACTACTTCTTCTTCTTCTTCTTCTTCTTCTTCTTCTTCTTCTTCTTCTTCTTCTTCTTCTTCTTCTTCTTCTTCTTCTTCTTCTTCTTCTTCTTCTTCTTCTTCTTCTTCTTCTTCTTCTTCTTCTTCTTCTTCTTCTTCTTCTTCTTCTTCTTCTTCTTCATCATCATCATCATCATCATCATCATTCACTATTGCTAGTAGTGAAGCAAATGTTCTCTCAGCATTTCCAGGGGATGGTCAGAAATGCAGAGCCAACACAGATCACACAGCATTCCTGAATATCCACTGTCTCTAATCCAGTTTTTATTTTATTTTTTAAGTTATCTTAGATGGGCAGTAGACCTTTTGCCTCTTCCACATTTGCTTTCCCATGTGAGCTAAAAACATAATTATTCAGGGTTAAGGAAGAGGTTGAGAGAGTTCAGGCAGGATGAGCTTTGCCGTTAACCAAAGAGCAAATATTAAAAGAAAAGGGATTTGATTAGGCATGGGGGGTGGAGGCTTTGGGGAGTGGGTTGAAGGCAAATCTGCTATGGGGTGGGAGAGGCAAAAGGGAATGCTGGGGATGTCAGCAGTGATGGTGATGACATAGTAGAAGAATGAAGATCAACTCAATAAGTTTGGGGGAACAGAGAAGAAAAAGCAGTTAGAAGAGTGCAAGGAGATGGGGGGGGGGACAGAAGGAAAGAAAACAAGAGGGGGAGGAAAGTAAGCCCCAAATTGCATCTATTTATACCAAGACAGAATTCACATACCATAATAAAGAAGAGGGAGTGAAGCTATTATCCAAAGCACCTGAAGGCAGGACAAGAAGCAATGGATGGAAACTAATCAAGGAGAGAAGCAACCTAGAACTAAGGAGAAATTTCCTGACAGTTAGAACAATTAACCAGTGGAACAACCTGCCTCCAGAAGTTGTGAATGCTCCAATATTGGAAGTTTTTAAGAAGAGACTGGACAACCATTTGTCTGAAATGGTATAGGGTTTCCTACCTGAGCAGGGGGTTGGACTAGAACACCTCTAAGGTCCCTTCCAACTCTATTATTATTGTTGTTATTGTTGTTGTTGCTGTTATTGTTAACATCACCATATATTTCATTAGGTTTACTGATGTGTAATTCCTGCTATTATGGTTTGCAAAGCATGGCTAATGGGTAGATCAGTAAGTGAGGGGTCCTTGGTGCTCTCTGAGCTTGATTATTTTCTTACACATTTCATTACAAAACTAGGTAACAGCATCAGTGCTAGTAAGGAGTAAGAGTTGCTCTCAATTTCAATTCGTTCAAAGCACTCCTACTAAAATGAAACTAGATATTATGAGTCATCCAAGAAAGTATTGTCTATCTTAGTGTTCTGTTATGACACTTTGGTAGCTGAATCTTATAGTAGAAATGCAAGGTAAATATACTAATAAATAGGAAAGGTTGACAATAATTGCTAATGGAACGAATCATGTTTCCAGAGCTGGTTAATTTTTGGCCATGTTCTTTAGAGAAACTATAAAATGACTCTGAACAATATACATGACATTGTTCTGTAATTTATTCCTCTACTATTTACCTCCCTATTGCCTTTATGGCAATCTGTCTCAAAGCTTCCTACTGTCTAAGCCTTTAGTAGTCGCTTATTCTGCTTCTGTATGGCAAATATCATATTTATTTGTTTATTGTTTATAAAATTTATTGGCCGCACATCTTACCATAGGATAACTCTGGGTGGCTTACAGTTACATTGTAGTTAAAACAAAAATGTTAAAATCAAACCTTAAAACCAAAGACACATCATATATTCTTTTCAAATGTGGCCCTATTTTTTCCTCCTTATTTACAGTTTTTTTAGGGCTTGCAATTCATTAACCTGGAGTTCTCTCCAGTTTCCCATATAGTGCTTCATCTCCACTTTTATTTCTATTACCTATTGTTTAAGAGTGTTCATGAAATACATATGAAAAAAATCAAATCAAATCTTTTGTCTTGAAACTCAATACAAGGTAGTCACACTTGAAGCATTTTATTATGTTTTTATAAAACAAAACTTGAAACATATTTAATGTTTCATCATGGGGAATAAAGGGGACTTAAATAAACTCCTTGTTCCCTGGTTTATATTTTAGGGCCACAAAAGTATACAGAGTGGAAATCCATGCTAAATGTTATTTGCTATCCATCCACTCAACAGAAAAATTGACCCAAATAGAAGCAATACAGTACTGAACCATACTTTTTACACTCTGCCAGCAGCAATATCTGCAAGATTGAACCTAGCAAAGTGACACCAATGAAGTCATGTCAGCATAAACAGTAGATAACCCAAAAGCAAAAATATCTTTCTCTGGATATTGATTTAAAGCTTCTACCTAACACTACCTGTATGCACATTTGAATTTGGCAACCTACCTTTAAAGGTAATATTATTATATTCCAACCCATGAGCATTACTTCCCCATAAGTAAATAGTTAAAAACTTGTAGCAAAATTTCCTAGCAGTTAACCATCTTCTCTCTGGCTATTCAGCCACTCAAAATTGCCTCTGATGCAGGTTCAGAACTAAAGCGCTTTGTCCAATCTTTATAAGTCATCAGGGTCTAACAGTGTCATTGTTGGCTATCTACAAATATTAGTTTTGGTGAAGAATGGCTGATGGGCAGCTGCTGGTGGTTTGGAGGGTAAAGTCAAGGAAATCCTAAGCCAGGGGTAGGCAACCTTGGCTCTTTTATGACTCGTGGACTTCAACTCCCAGAATTCCTGAGCCAGCACAGCTGGCTCAGGAATTCTGGGAGTTGAAGTCCACGAGTCATAAAAGAGCCAAGGTTGCCTACCCCTGGCCTAAGCGGAGGAGGTTGATTTTCAGAAAGATCAACTTCTCCACTAAATCAGTGTCCTAGTATGAGAGGTGCAGGATGCTGTTCGTTAGGCATGAAGTGTCTTACTGTAAAGTAGTCCGTTAAGAGTTGTGAGGTCTGTTGAGACCTGCACATTAATTAATTAATTAATTAATTAATGACCTGAGAGAGGCCTGGATCCATCTACTGTTTTTCTCTGGCTTTGCTGATGCAGCATAAACCATTTCTTTCTGCAATACTGACTGCTCTATAAATACCTTGAAAAGAAGCCAGCCATGTACCTCTGGTCCCAAGTTCTGGGGAAAGCATGTGTGCACTTGTCAAGGAGAAGCAATCCAAGTAATTATTAACAGTAGGGAACTGAATGAGGGAGGGGAAATGTCTGGAGCAATCAATTTCTCTGATCCACAAATCAGTCTGTGGTCTCAGATCTGTTGCCCTTCGTAAAGTGGCTGCCTAACAAGTTCCTGATGCCTCATTCTATGTCTATAGACACAGGAATGACCAGCGTTTGTGTGTGTAAATGGAGAAGATAATGAAGTATATATATGTATGACTATACGGTAAGACAAATTACCACTCCATTCTGGGATTCCTCACCCTTTACATCCCCTGTATTGCAGGTTTTGCCTGGACTCAGCCAAGCAGACCCGACAAAAAGTGGCTGTGAACTGGACCAATTTCACCCTGAAGAAAACCACTTCGAGTGCAGCTCAGTGAGGTGTGCGGTGCAGCCCTGGTATATCTGCAGGGCCCCACACCTCGCCTTCCCTCTCCCCAAACCCATAGACAGACACTTGACCTCACTGACCCTTGGCCCTCCCCTTTCCCCCTCCCCATGGGGCTCCTATCCCTAGCCCATAGGCAGGGCCTGGACAGCCCGTGTCCCTCACCTCTCAGTGTTCGACGTTCGGGGAGATGCTGACTGAGCCGCCCCAAGCCCAGGGGCAGTCTTACTCGGCCAAGGCCCAGCGTGGCACAGGGACCAGGCTGCACCCAATAAAGGACTTTTTAATTTTTTATTTTATTTAAAAAATCCATCTTCTCTGTTGTTTGTTCTGCCTTCACTGGGCCTTTGGTGCCAGGGCGTGGCCCTCTTCGTGGCAGGTGTAGCATGATGGAACCCCCTCTGCTCTTGAGCGCTTTCTTACATGTTGCTTCAACACCGTTGAGTTTCATAAGGGCAGGAGGTGCGCAAGGGGCTCCCCTTACTGAGGAGCAAGAAGTTGTCTTCTGCTTTGAGAACTAGATATTCCCTTGCAAATTTACAGTGGCAGAGCTTCTGTGTGTGATACAGCCCTTGTCTGTTTCTGTGTGTGATACAGCCCTTGTCTGTTTCCAGAAACTGCACGTCATTCAATGTGGCTGTGTTACCTTATTTCTCAGGGAATGTTATTCTCTCAGATCAACACATCGTAAAGTACAATATTGCTACTAGGATCCTACTAGTAGTAATAAGAGCTGGTCGTTTCATTTCAGACAGGTAGCCTATGGCCATGACAGCCAGCCTGAGCAATGCTGATAAAAGTCTGCAAATTTTAATCTTTTCTCTTATTGTCTTCTCCCCTGCATTTAATAATCATTCTGGACAGATATTTCTTCAGCACAGGCAATTCTGTACACTTTCTACATATGAACAGCACACACCTCTTTGTTTCTTCACAAGCACACACAACAGAATTACCCCCAATTGGCTGCATCAAACATAGTTGTGCTGTTTGCACATGAAGATATGTGTGTTACGTCCTACAAAGACCTATTTATGGAGAGTCCTCATGTAAAATAGACTTGCTGAAGAGTAAAACTGCAAATCTGCTGTGTCATAGATTATGTACTTAAAATCAAATGTGGAGTGTGACTCCATTCTTTCTTGCCGCACTAAAAGTCCATCATTCCGTGGCTGTTACCCTTTTCACGTGTTTGCAAACTTGAGCCTCTCTCAAGTTCTTGCTGCAGTTGGTCACCTGATTCCTCTGATACTGGGGTAATCTGATAGGGCTCCTTGTGTGTGACTGCAGAAATCTGATTGCATCTACTGTAGATAATTTTACAATCCCACGGCAGAGCCCTATTTTCAGTTCATGTACAGATAGTCCTCAACTTGCAACAGTTAATTTAGCGATTGTTCAAAGTTACAATGGCACTGAAAAAAGTGACTGATGACGGTTTTTCACACTTACAATTGTTGTAGTATCCCCGTGGTCATGTGATCAAAATTCAGACCTTTGGCAACTGACTCATATTTATGACGGTTACATTGTCCCGGGATGATGTGATCGATTGCCTTTTGTGACCTGACAGGCAAAGTCAATGGGGAAGCCTGATTCACTTAACAACCGTGTTACTATCTTAACAACTGCAGTGATTCACTTAACATCTGTGGCAAGAAAAGTTGTAAAATGGGGCAGAGCTCACTTAACTGTTTCACTTAACAACAAAAATCTTGGGCTCAGTTGTGGTTGTAAGTCGATGACTACCTGTACTGGTTAAGCTATTGTCATGCCAATGATAGTGCATGTGAAAAAAGTGCAAATGATGAAATTCCTTCTAAGGTGTTTCCTAGCAAAGGTTCTCGCTCCTGCTGTTGTTTTACCATGGATCTCTGTTTGGCTTACATATATTTGCTCCTGTTTCCTTAAGAGTCTCTTATACCAGGGTTCCCAACCCCCAGTCTGTGCACCGGCACTGGTTCGCGGCATGCCAGACACCGGGCCACGCAAGCGAGCCCATCTGTGGGATGCAGGCAGTATGCAAAATCCACGCCCCCTCTGGTCCACGGAAAAACCTTTCTCCACAGAACCGTCCCTGGTGCCCAAAAGGTTGGGGGCCTGTGTCTTATACAACATTTAGTTCTTGAGCTCTACTGGACTTAAATTTGCCCTTGAATATTATACCGAAGCACACTGGTTTAACCACTCTAACAACATAATTGGGATTATCATTTCCCCTTATGTGTTGCTGGCTACTTTACTCTGCCAAGTGTTGGGGTGATTCTCCCTTTGTATCAATGCAGGAGTGGGCAATCATTGTTGTCTGTATGATATTGTTTGTGACATATCAATCTCTGACTCAAGAAATGAGTACGGTCCATTGCCAAACTAAATTTCTGGTGCTATCCTGCCTCCGCCTCCTCCATCTTATGAGATTGGTGCCCTTCCTACTTCCCAGAGGGCTTGAAATATATGCTATCATTATCAGCAAACTGATCAGGTTTTCTGTTCCTTTAAAGATGCCGTGAAATATTTTGTGTGAGGTGATAAGCTATGCAGCAGCATCCATAGCAAACTTCAGTGACACTCTTGTAAAAACAACAGTGGCATACTTGCATTCTGATGTTGGTAACATGTTCATTTGTTCCCCCTGACATCCTTCTGCAGATGCTCATGCTGACATAATCAGAAATCAACAGTGTAATTACAACCTATGATATGTGCCAAGGAACTGGAGTTTTGGTCAAGTCACAATACAGAAAGTTTAGAGAACTTCACTAAGGCCAAGGCTAGTTGCCGACGGTCTTATAAATTGTTTACTGATATCAGCCTCTCACACTTGTCAAGAACTCATCTGGATTACTGGTAGGTGCTTTATTGCAGAAGCAGGGAACATAATGAATTTATAGCACTTAGTATTGATTCAGAGCTGAGTGCATTCATCGCTGCAATGCAAGGTAAGATGTGTCATCCTTCACATTGGAAGTTTTCTACAACTGGAGTGCACATTGTCTAGCTGTCCAATGTTATTGTTTTGAATTATTAGAATATTTAATAGCTAAAAAGTTAACAATGAAATGGGGCGGGAGAGATGGCAGCCAAGTAATCTTTCCTGCATTGGTTAACTTAAATCATGCGTATAGCAGGCAGAACAGAAAGAAATAGCAGAATTCCCACAGTGTGGCATATTAGATTTTTCTTGTATACTACTTCATTCCATATTTGAAAATCTTCTTGCTCATAATAGCTTCATGAAATACATAAAATGGTATTCATCTAAGCAAGTGTTTCTCAACCCTGGCAACCTGAAGAGGTGTGGACTTCAACTCCCAGAATTCCCCCAGACAAAGTGATCTAAACCATACAGGTTTGTAGCAATCATTGTTCCTCAAAACACTTCACAGGTATTGTATGATATAGTTCTCTGCTAGTATCTGGTGGAGAAAAGTATACATTGTATGGGGACTTCTTTGGTTAAACCCAACCAACAACAAAAATCCAGCTAGTCCAGAAAGCCATACTTTTGTAGACAATAAAATCAACTTTTACTTTTTTATTCTATTTTAATGTTTATCTCCCTCACCTGTAATGTTATCAGCAGAATGGTAGCTGGAGGGCATAGGGAAAAAAGTCGTGTACTTTCTAGATTGGGAAATAATAAGGGCCACCTTTCTGTTTAGATCAAACATCCATCTAGTTTATCTGTATTTTTCAAGGTCCAAACAAATGTCTCTGGGAAGATCCCAGGCTGGGCATGAAGGCAACAAATTTGGGTGGGTGGGTGTTGGTTCGGATTCTGATAAAAAGTATAATATAATTGAACCAACAGGCCTTGACGTGTGGTTTGGGGTTTTTTTTAAGCTACCTAAGCCACTTGTAATGACGTACTCTGACACTATTACTGGTTTTCATCTGTCTGCAACCTGCTTTAATGGACATCAGAATAATAGTGCTCTAAGAAAAGCACACGTTTTTTACTATTCAGATAGGATCCTAAAAATTTAGATCACCACATATAAGGCATGCTAACTCTTATGAGTTACTTCAGAATCCTAAACCTAGACCCCTTTAAGTTCCCTTAGGAGGAAGGGAAATAAACAAAAATATCTGTTTACTGTGGAGTAAACCTCATTGAATTCACAGGACTGCCTTTCCCACATCAGTCACATCCTTTATTAGAAGATCAGTATCCCAAAAGGGACCAGATCACATACTGGTAAGGGAATGATGGTAGAGTAAGCACCTTATTTTAATTCACGTTTCTAATCATTAACATTCTTCATTGCCGCTATACAGCATTTATCAAATATACAGTAGTGGCCAAAAGTGTGGAAACGTTTTGGGAAAAGTACATTTGAGGTTTGATGGCTAATAACACCACTTTTTTTGGAGTAGTACCATAAAATTATATATCAATGGAAAGATAATTTAATCATGAATGTAATGCAACAAAATTCGTTCAATTATCTATTCTATGAAAAGTTATAGCCAAATAACCAGAAAAAGGAAGCACAACTTGCTTAGGTTGATATCAGGTAGCTTTCTTCATCTGATTGTAGCCAATGAGCATGAGTGTTTAGAGAGCCAATCAGGTGTCATCTTGTTTTGGCAATGAGCCAATCAGATCACAGTAGGGTTCAGTTATTGATGTCATGTATTGAAGCTGAGAGGAGGACATTTGTCAGTGTGTTATGTGATTGCTATCAAGTTGGTTGGGGTTTTTTTTGTGTTCTTTCATTTAGTGAGCTTGTAAAATGTAAAAAAAATTAAAGTAATGGTGCAAAGAGTTGACTGGTTGCCCAGAAAGCAATGTAAAATAGTATTAAGTGAACAAGGCTACAGTTATAAAGAAATTAGAAGAAAAATTGGTGGAAACTTAACCAAAAGTGGCATTTCTAGGTTTTTGAAGAGGTATAAGGAGACTCAGTCACTACAAAACCACACTGGTAAAGGCAGGAAAAGGTGCACAACAGCAAGTGATGATAGAAGAATTAAAAGACTGTGCCTACGTGACAGAAGACAATCATCTGGGTGTACACAAGATAAAATGGCGCAATGCAATGTGAAGTTGAATGCAAGGACTGTTCGGCACAGACTGCAGGAATTTGTCCTAAAA